ACAGCTGACATGATAAGAGAAGGAAGATGCTTTTGCTGTCACAAAGTCGTTTTCTCCATTGCGAAAATGTCAGAGGGGTCAGCTCCGATTGTCAGGCTGCTGTGTCTGGCCTGATCCTGGGGGAGCACAGCTGACACCTGCCACTTGCCCAAGCTGAGGGCAGCTGGTGAGATCTCACAGCCACTTTCCATCTGTTTAAAAACGTGTTTTTCTCAGGTGTCTTTTTGAAATTCTTACAGAAAACTTTCCGTAAAAAACACCGCTTTTTTTTATTCCTTAATACCCACCCTTCAGCAACTTTGCAAAATGCTGAGCCCCTTTGCTCCTGGGAGGACTTTTTCCAAAAGGAAGTATTTTCTCCCTGCCTGAAAGTGTCCATATTAATATTAAAATTACAATTAGCAGGTAAAACGTTTAAAACCCCTTGATGGGGCATGAAAAAACGACAGAGTTGTGGGGCTGGGGAGGGCAGGAGGAGGCTCTGTGCTAGTCCTGGCAGTTCTTGCTGCCGTGGTTTGTGGACACACTTGTGCTGTTGCAAAGCACAGAGCCCTGCTTCCCTCCCGCTCTTCAGCTAAAGCACCCAGGGTGGTGCAACGCTGACAGCTTTAGTGGAGGGTAGAGGGACTGGAGGCTGGCTGAGCAGGTCACAGCATTGGCACGTGCAGAAAGGGCAAGGCTGGCTGTGTGAGCGGCGTCACCTTGCCCTAGCAGAGCTCTGACAGCTCTGTGAGGACCAGCCCCGTCCCTCCCTGCACGTGTGGGAAGGATTTGTGGGGCTCCCTGTGGAAGTGAGCATCCTGACCTCTGCCCAGGTGCTCTGTTTGCATGATGCGGGATGTTAAATCTTGCCTTAATGTGGCTGACGAACACCAGTTTTTGTGAAGTGTGCAGGGCACTTCCCCATAAATAAATGATGGAGCATTATTCAGTCCACTTAGATCAATACATCAGCTTGACAAGTTCCAGTTCTGGGAATTTTCTGACCCTCTGGAAGATCTTGTCTGCAGCTGTGCTGCTTATAAAACACCATGTGTAGCCGAAACAAGCTCCAAGGAGCAGGGCATCAGGATTCAGCTGTGTTGGTGCTGCCGCCTGGACGGCCCTGGTGTTGCTGGGAACAGGGGCTGGTTTGCACTGGGATTGCAGCAAGGGCAGGCAGGGCAAACTGTGCCAAACTGGGCAGTGTTTTCACAAGAACTCGGCAAATGCTACCCATGTTCTTCCCCTGCAAGCGGTGCCATGGCACTGCCCAGCCTCACTGGTGGTGTGCCCTCCAAGCGCTCCTGTCCCAGTGCAGGGGACCATCTTTAGCCCCCAGCGCTACCAGCAGTGGTCCATGGAACTCTTGTTTCAGGCTCTTTGCAAATTGAGGCAGATGCAGCATGGCCACCATGAAGTTTCGTGGCCCGGTACAACAGGAGGATTATCTCAGACCCTCTTTGCTTTATGGTAAAGCCAGCCCCAGATGCTATGATTCTGTGCACACAGCATCTCCCTGTCCCAGGCTGCTGTACCCTATGTCTTATCGCCACTTCTGCTTTTTGGATTTTCTGCAGGTTATGTGAGGTATGGGTTACCTAAGGACTTACCTCCCCATACTGGCACTTTTAACAGGGTGTGGATTATCTGTGGTGCTGGCTGTATGCATGGAAACACAGTATGTTCCTAATCTCCTGCTGCTGTTAGCTCACGTTTATCACAGGAGTATCTGCTTACCTTTGATTTGAGATCCCTGCATCAGGGACCCAGGGCAGTATTTGCCTGTGAACTGCTGTGTATACCTATGGGATTGTATAAGCAAATAAATATAATTAATAATCATCTGACTTCAGAGCAGCATTGGCAGGGAAGTAAATGTAGCCTTCATAGAATTACAAACAAAATCAGGAAAAAAGGGAGACCTTTCTAGCATCTGGTATGAATGGAAATAATTGTGTTCAAGCTGCTTGAAAATTATTCTGCAAACGTTTGGGTGGGTTTTAGCAGATCAGAGGCATTGAGTTTGTCTCTAAATCAGAATTTTGACCAAAACCATTTAAAAATAGCTTTTTTAAAAGATGCCTGCATTTTTTATCCATTAAAATGCAGATGAAAATAAAATGCCGTGCAGTCCTGGCACTGCTTCAGTGTCTGATCTAGAAGGGAGGAACCCAGTCCCTGCAACACCAGGACTGAACCAGAGGGAGGGACAAATTAGTGTGATTTACTTGCAAAAAGGATTTCAGGGCATTTTTTTAAATGCTTTGGCTTGCGAGTGAACCAGGGACATCTCAGACTTTCTCATGGTTTGCCATAGTGATGAGCAGTGAAGGGGCAGGGGTCTGTGCTGCTGCCAGTGGCCGTCCGGGGCTGGAGCAGCGGCGGAGCCAGCAGAAGAGTGGCTGTGGTTGACACTGGTGTCCTGGCAGCTGTGGTGAGCTGGCAGCGAGTGGGCGGCCATGGCCACCCCAGCAGGCTGGGGAGCCCCGAACTGGGGAGCCTCCGGCACTTTCTGCCTCACTTTAACAGTCAGAAGAAGAACTTTCCTGTTTAAAGATTAAACGTTGTCTTTAAATATTAAACAGCAAAGCTCCTTGCTCTTGATTGTGTGGCTGCTGCTGGCAGGCGGCTCAGAATTGCCAATTTTAATTAAAAAACTTTATTTTCAAACGCAGCTCAGTGATGGCTCCTCCTCCCAGCTGGGGCTGGATGACCTCTCCCCTGACTTGCCTTCATCTCTGCCTCTCTGCCCACATTTCCCTCTGCCTGCAGCAAAGTGACGTCCCTGCCAGCCCCAAAGTGTGAGCGGCCTGTGAGCAGTCTCATCTGGGACTGATCAATGCCCCTGGCACTTCCTTCCAAAACCCCAGGAAAAACAATTAAAACCCAATCGATCCTGTAGGCAGCTTTGAATATGCATAAGTGCACACTTGACCTTCAGGCCAACTTCCACCCCGGCTGCTTAGCTAGTTTGCTCAGGTATTGCGGCTGTACCGAACGACCTTGATTAGGAAAGCAAAATGCAATGCAAAGATGGGCCCGGTGCAGATCCTGCGGCCAGGGCACGTGCTGACAGCTCCCTGCAGATGTTGCTGCTGCAGGGCTGGTGGAGGCAGGCTGGGGTTGGCGCTAGCACCCAGCTGTTAGGAGTTTTCCAGAGCTGTCCCCATGGCTTTCCCGGGATACCTCCAGCCTCCTGCTATGCTCCCTCAGTTGCTCCTGAGGGATGTGTCTGGGCTGGGAAGGCAGCCTGTGATATGTCCCTGTGCAGGGACAGCCCTGCTTCCTCCCCGTCCCATGTGTCCTCCCCTGAAGCGTGCGGGGTCACCCCTTCCCCAGGGATGTCCCTCGCTGCTGGCGACCCCAGCCCTGGACCCGCTGGTGGTGAGCATGGGAACCTTCCTGCACTGTGCCTGGGCTTGCTCTTTTGGACAGAGCCCAGGAGAGGGAGTCCCATGCAGAGCCACTGCCACTATCACCCAGGGCCACCCAGCAGCAGGGTGGCAAGGTCCCATCCTGCACTGCAACCCCCGGCTCGCCCCTACTCTGCAGTTGGCCAGCCTGCATCCCAGCCATGGCAATGAAGATACCAGAGCATGTTTGTTGAAGGCAAAGGAAACCTCCCTGTTGTGTACACAAAGTGTAATTTCAGTGAATTATGCATAGACTTAATTAGGAGTTTTAATTGCTAATCATCTCCCAACAGGATTAGCAATGCTGTCTATTAATTATGTGTGGAGCCCTCTGTTTTGCTAAGGCAGGAGTAACAAAGCAGCATGAGTGGTTACATGGGCCAGTAATAAATTAACTCCCCCAAGCCCTGTAGCTCCGAGGCGGGGGGAGGGCTGTGGGACGGCCGGCCCTGCCCATGCTGGGCAGAGCAGCAGGTCCCAGTGGCAGGCAGGTGGGTGGTGGACTGGTGGGCGGGATCACTCAGCTCCACTTGCCCAGTTCATCCCTATTCCTGCCGCAGAGAGCGTCTCGCTCAGTGTTTGCAGCCCATGAAGAGTGTCGGCAATGCCCTGCCATGCGGTTAGCGATGATCCCCGCTGCAGGAGGGAGATAGGGGCTGCTGGATTGACCTGATCACATCTGGAGACAATGGCCCTCACGGCAGCAGAGATAGCACTGGCGTGAGCAACACTAAGCCCACGCGCCCTTCTTACTGCTCACAATGCGGCACTGAGCTTAATTCCTCAAGATGAAGAAGATACGTGGCTGTCAGGCTGTAATTACAGCCATGCGTCTGACATGAAGGCCTGGCTGCTTTCACATTTGCATTGTCTGGTGTGGTTTTTGTGCTGCTCAGGCTCCCAGCTGCCTCACCCCTGCTGGGAGCCCTGCTGGGTGACGCAGCAGGGGTGGAGCAGGCTCCCTCTGGCCAGGCTGCAGGCTCTGTGCAGTGGGGTGAGCAGTGCTGGCTCCCAGTGGCGTTTCTCCCAGTGATGGAGACCCATGATGCAACTGGGGCTCTAGGGATGGAGAGAGGAGGCTGGGAGGTCTGTGCTTGCCAGAGGGGAAAGGGTTGCTAGCCAGGCCAGCCTGGGCATAGGCATCCCATTCCAAATCCCCCTGACTCCTCCTGCCAACCCCATCCTCGGTGAATCAGGAATGGGGGGGTATGATGTTGGAGCAACCCAGGGACATGTGGGATGAACTTGTAGGCCCCAGTTTGCCCCAGCGCAGCAAAGGTGATGCCAATCCGGCACAGTGCCCAGCAAATCTCATGAGGGTTGTGACCCATACGAGGCTCAGGGACAGGCCCTAGACACCTTTTCTCTGAGGAGCATCAGGTGGGAGAGGCCAGGGTGAGGGTGCTTTGTGCACGCGGCTCCAGGAGAGCTTCTGTGGGGACAATGCATGGGTCCGCACTGAACATGGCGAATGGAGACCCACACCAGCCCTGGGAGCAGCCATGCTTGGGCAAGCATAGCTGGCTGCTGGCAGTGAGGCGCTCCTCCCAAACACGTCTGCACATGGGCTGTGCACCGGTCTGACCCTCTGCTTCTCTCTTGCAGGCGTACAGCTTTGCCATGGGGAGTTGGCCAAAGAATGGGCTCTTAGACATGAACAAAGGACTGAACCTACAGCACATAGGGAGGCCTCACAGCGGGATAGGTGAGTGATGCCGCTCCGCGCCCTTCCTGTCCCTGCGGCTGCTGCTCCAGGTGCACAGGACATGCTTCGTCTCCCAAGAGCTGGTCCAGACTGGGGTGCTGAAAGCCAGGCAAATGGCTGCAGGGTCTGGCTGGTGGAAAGGACAGAGATGTGTCGGGGCAGGATGGGCATGCAAGTTGAGCTTTCCATCCCTGGCACGTCCTCGTGTGCCTGCCCGTCCCTCTGGACGGGGAACTGCTTGCCTCCTTGGCTGCTCTGGTAGCGCTCAGGCTGGGGGTGGATGTGGGCAACACCAGGGCTTGCACTGTGCCTGGAGCACAGGGCAGGGGTCCCCATGCTGGGGGGAATGCTTTTCCTGTTGTACCAGTCCTCCAGCTGCTCTGGATGCTGTGTTCATCCTTGGAAAGGAGGCTCTGCCAGGCGGTGCAGCCTCAGGAGCTGGCTGGAAACACGTTACAGAGTGAAGATGCGTGGCCCCAGCTGGAGAACTGAATCATCATCCCGCTTGCTCACACATGTGATGAGTTTCATGGTCCCGCAGCCTGCTCCAAGATAAACAACTGAGACTACCATGCACAGTGACAGAGCTCCATGTTTCCCCTAGCTCCTCTGCACCAGGGATCAAAGTGATAGGAGGAGGGAGACCTGGCCCAGGACACTGAGGCCATATATCTGCCTGCTGCTTAACGCTGGGGGTGCAAAGCTGGGGCAGCAGCAGGCTGTAGTACAGGCCAGAGCTCAGATTTACTGGGCTGTAGGCAGGGCTGTAACTCAGTGTGTGTCACTCTTCCCTGCTTGTTTCTCTGCGGGGCGTTGGATCACCTCTTGGAGACCAGTGGTCAGGTGTTCCTTCTGCCTCCCAGCCCTTCATCCACAGTGACTTTGTGAGCATTAAAGTTTGCAAGGAGGTACGATTTACTTGGAAAAGTCACCGGCTACCTGGGCCTTGAGGAGGCTGTTTAATATTGTTTCAAGACCCTAACCATTAAACTCTCCAATCAATCCAAGTTAAGGAGATGAATTATTTAAAGCTCACCAGCTTTTAATTAGCAAGCTCCTTTTGAACTATGGATCTGGCTGCATTATTGACAAAGGTAGCATTAAAATTTGCTTCCTTGCCTGGGAGCAGATTTGCCTTGCTTGTGTGCCATGTTGGGGGGATCACGAGGAGGGAGCAGGGACTGCGGGAGTTGTGTGTGGTGTCCTGCTCTAGGGGCTTGGGCTATTCTTAGGGTCTCCTGGGGGATGCAGGGTTGGCTTGTGCCTTGTCTTTCCTCATTTTATTTATGACAAGAACTCTCTATTGCTATTGTGTCTTACTCTGACAAAGCGTCTCCAGCTCTGGAGTATCATCTGTCTGCTGTTGTTTACTGGCGGTGTTTGTCTCAATGCTGTTGTCTTGCACGGGTATCTCTTCCTGATGGAGTTCAGAGAGATGCTGCTCATGTCCCTCCCCACTCCAGTCCTTTAGGAGGGTTTTACTTCTTCATTTCTGCCAAACTCCCTCTGTGGGAGAGCACTCCTGGCTCTCCTCAGTACAGGATAAGCCTTGGGCAGGTTGCCAATGGAGAAGCAAGGCGCAGAAGCCAAGCTCCCTTCTTGCAGCACTCTATCCCAGTGGCAAACCTACCTTTCACAGTGTTCGGAACGGGGTTTACGTGGGTGCTGTGAAGGATGCCAGGCCAGCAGCGTGATGGTCTCCATCTCCCTGGCACCACCAACAGTGCACACGTGCCCTGTGTGTTGCAGCCTGCTGGCTGCTCCATTTGGACTGGGTCCAGAGCAGTTCTGCCCCAGGCATCTGCGATCCTCTGCCTGCCTGCAGAGGTGGCACCCTGTGCCTGGTGGCTTTACTGCAGGCTGAGCTCCCAGGAGTGAGGTGAAGGCATGGCTCATTGAATGGCAGCCGGGGAGAACATCTTCTCCTCCTGGCCAGCTTGGGAGCCCCAGGCAGAGTTGCTGCCTGTGGTGTCAGGACTGCTGGCTTTGGGGCTTGGTAGCTAAATGTCCCCCCTGGGAGAAGGCTCAGGGTAATGCTGGTGTCTGGAGATAGGCCTTGCCTGGCATTTTGTCAGGGCACCAGCCTCCTGGCCTTCTGGCCACTTCATTTCACAGCCTACTGGCTTTTCAGGTCCTAGGCATGAATCAAGTGTTGGCTCTAGTGACAGCCTGAGAGGTCCCCAGGCCAAGGGCCGAGGATGAGCTGCTCACTGCAGAGGTGACCTGGCTTCCTTGGGCCCAGTTTTGCTGCTTCATCCTGGAGGAAGTGTCGGTCCTCCACAGCCAAGCCCTTCCGTATCAGCCACTGGGACTAGGCACAGTCATCCCAATTGCTGACGATTACCCTGTGACCTGAGCAGTCCTCACCACTCTCCTCCTTCATGCTCTCAACTGCTTTTGCTTCAGGGCTGGTAGGAGCCATCCCTTTCCCTGCCCGGGGCTGCTCTTGCCTTCCCTCCCTGGATGTAAGGAGGCTTGCTCCTGACACAGCCCTGCCTACTCAGCTGGGTAAATGACCCCTCCTCAAGGACTGCTGCCGGAGAAGAGAGTGGAAAATGGCAAAACACACTGGCTACCCATCTCTTGCTGCTCATGGTGAGATGGGAGCTGGCTGTGGCTCTGGGGATATTCCCATGCGGTCTAGAGCCTCCCTTCTCTTTTGGGGTCAGTCCTGGGGTGCAGTGCAGTCAAAGGAAGTTGGGGATCTGAGAGGGGGGTCCCCAGGGGTGCCCAGGGCAAGTGTAACCAAAGTCAGCCTCTGATTTTCATGGCCCTCTTGGGTCACTTGTGTCCAGAAGTCTGCAAACCAAAGAGGGCTGAGAAGGGAGCAGTAAGGAAACATTTTAGCCAGGCACACCAGTTTCATGAATACCATGCCATGTAAGAGAGCACCCATGCAGCTCCTTTCCCAGCAGCATGGGGAGCGGTCCAGGGAGATGCAGGCAGTCCTGTGAAGCCTCAGCTCACTTACACAGGAATGTGCATCATGGATGTTTCTTTTCAAATCTGACAGAAAAATTGCAGTGGATGGCTGCTTGGTTTTGCAAACAGTTTGCAAGGAATTTTGCCATCTCTCCTGATCGGCTGTGTATTGCTTTGTTTTCAAGTAACTTTCTGATTCACTGGGTCAGCAGATACCTGCTCCAAATCCCTGCACTTGGCATGCTCTGGGACCAGTCCTACTCCATGCTTCGTCTCCTCTCCTTTGTCTTGTTCAAAATTTGGGAGTTCAGGATGCTCGACACCCTGCAGGGCCAAGGCTGGATTCTGTATGGGAACCTCACCTTTAGTATCTGGTGTGTCCAGGCAGGAGGGGCTTGTAGTGGAGCATGGTGGAGTCTTGTACCATATCCCCTTGGACATGTGGCTGGGCATACGCAGCACCAAGATGCTGAACAGGGCTTACGTTGTAGCTTTTCTCTGGTTTCTACTCACGTGCAAGCAAGCTCAATCTTGTCAAGAGGTTAGTAATGTGGTTTATGTCACTGAAGTGTTTATGTCACCAAATAAGGCAAAGTGTTTGCATACGTTACAAATACATCTGCCTTGAGGTTGGATGTCTGCTGCGGTTGTTTTCTTGCGAGGGAAAAGGTAAAGGAAGGGGGGAAATGTCAGTAATTCAGCTTGCTGAGAAGTCCTGAGCAGAATAAGGAGGTAGGAAAGTCCTGCTCAGAGAGTGAGAATGCAGAAAATCCTTGGGAGATGGGAAAGGAGCAATAATGGGAGCGAAACCTGTTCTTTCATGTGTTTTCTTGGGTTGATAATGTGGCTCTGAGGACCAGAGAGGACTTTCTTCCATCTTAAATACGGATTAAATGGGTGTCAGCTCTAGCATGGGCTGTAGGATCTTGGGGTGAGGAACTACTTTTTGGCTGGTGTTTTCTTGGCCCTCAACAAAATGAAGTTGAGTCTTGATAAGAAGTTGCTCATCTTACAGATGTGTGCACGTTGCAGTTCTTAAAACATGTGTTTGAGGCACTGCTTGCCAAAAAAGAGATGCAGCTTGTAATGGGGGTCTTGGCACTCTCACGCAAAGACCAGCGTTCACAGGCACTGCACCAGTGAAGCTGAGTTCTTGCACTGGGATCTCTCTGCTGACTTTAAGAGACTGATATAAATCAGATGGCTTAAAATACCAGGCTGTAGTTGTTATTTAAGTCAGACAACAGATCACCTGGATTCAATAATTGACTTTTTGCTCTTTTTGCCTTTGTTTTTTACCTGTTTCCCTAAAAAAGGTGAAGTTTTACTGACCAGCACCTATCAAAGTACAGCTCTCCTTAGCACTGCCCAGTTGTTAAATCTAGTTATTCTTTTATTCATCAGATGTCCTGTATTTGCTACATTTAGTTTTATCGGTTATGTAACATAGTATGCCTTTAGTCCTATATTTTAGATATTTGTTACCTTAGAAAAATGGTGAATTACTATTTATTATTAAGGAGGTGGTGATTAAATTATTACTCATGATTTGAGTTGTGATGCTTTTGGATGAAAACTGGAATGCCATGCTAAAGTACCCCAGCAGTAATTTGAATTGATTTTATTAGTAAAACCCTGTTTCCCTTTCATATGCTCAATACAGAAGGAAAAGTAAATTTCAGAATACTTTTTAGTTAAAAATACCTGGTGCGTGAAACCAAGGCAAGGAGTGATTGGTGCGTTGAAGGAGTGTTTCTAGAAACCACCCTTTCAAGATTTTAGAATTAGCACGTCTCATCCTCTCCCATCTCAGTTTGTTGGTTTGTTTGTTTACCTGATGATAGAAAAGATGAAAGGCACACCTTTCTTTTTTTTCTCAGTCCTTCATTTTTTTCTCAACTCTGAACGAGCTAGTTATTGAACTGAAAATACTCCAGAAAAAGTAAAAAGTTTCCAAATCTGGAGAAGCAGCTGCTGCTGGGAAAGTTTGTTTCTCATTTGTCAGCTCTGCTTCCACCTCCAGTGCATTGACTGTCTTTAAAACACGATGTTACCCCTTGCTACTGGTCTTTTTTGAG